CATTCGATGCGCATCAATCATCTATATTGCATTGTCGGCACGGAAAGGGGGGCAAATCTAGTTTTTTTTCTTCTTCCGCACATCGCATTTTTCTCCCCGGCTGGGGTGGCAGCCGGCCGAAGCCTGACTAACGCCTCGGGCCCCCGCTGCAACACCACCTCTCTTGGGCCTCTCCCATCGCCTTCCTTCCACCCAGCGCAAACCGGCGCCCCTAGCCGTGGCCACCACGGCCAAAGTCCCTCCAGAAGTGCCCCCCTCCCCGCCCCTCTCCCCCCGGCGCTGTCCCCCGGGTCCCTGCTCGCCGCAGAAACAAGGGCAGGCGGACAGGGGCCCATCGATCGCGCATTGGACAACATATATTGGGGGGCGGGGCAGTTGGTGGGGTGAGGTCAGATGTCGACGGGTGGCGACTACGGCGTCAATCTGATCCCTCTAAACGCGGAGCAGTTCGGCGTGCCCCTGGGCGGGGAGCAGCGTGGGCTGGGCCTGCCGGCGCCGGCGGTGGCGGTCCAGAAGCCCGCAAAGTCGGTGCTGCACGAGTTCTACCAGCAGCACCGCGGCACGCCGGTGTTCACGATCGTGTCCAGCGCCCAGCCGCCCGCCGAGCCGTGCTTCAAGTGGGTTGCCCGGACTCGCCGCCGTTATACTTGCACGTCGGTCGGTGGTCGGTGATAGGGAGGCGGGGGGGGGAGGGCAAGGGATTTGTTGCAAAGGAGGGAAAGGAACAGGTAATGCAAAGGGCGCACCCTCCTAAGCAAGTGCGCGCTAGACTGTTTTCCATGCTGAAAGGAGATGATACAGAGTCGCCGATCCGAAATGATGAGCACACAACACAAGAAGGGGGGGCGGGGAGGTGGTGTCCCGGTGAAACTTTCCTCTGCCCTGGAATTTTCTCGGCGGATTTTTTTGTGGTTGATTTGTCTCGGTCCGTGTTTGTCCTGATCGCGCTGGCGCGCAGGTGTTCGCTGGAGTGCCCGGGGCTGGACACGCTGTCTGGCATCAGCTGCCCCACGCAGACCTTCGACGGGGAGGCCCGGTCCAAGCGTGCCGCCGAGCATGCCGCCGCCAAGAAGGCCCTGGACTATTTTAGGAGCCTGGGGCTGCTGCCCGCGGAGGTGGAGGGGTACAACAGGCAGCAGCAGCAACAGCAACAGCAGCAGCAAATGCAGATGCAGGCGCCCCAGGTGGTCGCGATGAACCCGCTGCCCGTGTTCACGCCCTTCGGGAGGGGCGGGGTGTACGGCGCGGACGCGCACCAGGCGGCGAACGTGATCCCCTTGGACCGCACCGGGGCGCCCTTACAGCTCATGGTGGGCGTGGGGCCGGACGGGCAGTTGATCGCAGGTGAGCAAGGCGCGGCGATTGCCGCAATTTGTTGCAGAGCTGAAGGTTGGAGGTGATTGTTGAAACCTGTGGGGAACCAGGCCACGGCTGTGCGAATGTGGCATATGGTGCCAATGGCTGTTGTGGATTGTGCAGTGGCGTTGAGCCGTGCGCCATCCAAGCATCTTGAACCAATTCTTAGGGGTACTGTTCGTGCTACTGCACGGCCATGGCTGTGAGATTGTGGCATCTGAGTGGAAGGGGAGAGATGCGGGGCATGGAGATGTTGAAACGCCGCTTCTGTGCAGATCCATTGCTCGTGTTTGCCCAGAGATGGCGAAACAGGCTCTGGGGTTGTCCAAGGGAAGAAAGGGCAATGTTTGTGTCCTGTTGGGTGGCCACTAGCACTGAGAGTAAAGCTTGAAGGCCAGGATGCATTGCAATGTCATGTGGTGTGCATGTCACCTGTTGGGGCCGCCTGTTCTTTGCAATAGCCATTGCTCTCATGAGCTGGTGTCTGGCCTCAGCAACGAGCACAATCGCCCTGACATGCAAGGCTCTGCCTTTGAACCCTTGCAAATTGCCAGGTGCTGTTGCATGTGCCAACAATGTTCTACAGCCGAGTTGAGCTGTTTTTGAAAACCTTGGTCCTCAACTGTTTCCTTTTTAACTGACGATCTCTGCCTTTGTCTTCTAATGAACTATGAGCTCAGGAATAGATTACGCACGTGCGTGTCATGTAGCGTGCTTGTCTTCAATCTTGGAAATGGTCACAATCTCTTTGCTGGTCCCTGTAGACACCTCTACTCCGTTTTTTGTTCAAAGATGTGTAGCTGCTCTCTTCCCATGAGCAGACAGGAGACATGTGCCCACCACCACTTGGTATGAAACTGCTTGTTGATCTGGCCTTGCTTTCTTAGCTCGGCTTGCATAGCTCAAGTGTGCACACAACAGCTGCTTCTGTTGGTCATTGCCTGAAGTGGTCTTGTTGCCCATGAAGGACTTGAAAGATAATGGCACACTTGGTTTGCAAGAGTTCAATAAGGCCCACTGTTGTGTGCCTCATACCACAACATGCACAGTGCCTACATCTCTGCCATCCACTATTCTGTGGGAGACTGGTGTGCAGAAGGCCAGGTTCAACAGTTGCTGTCTTGCTCACTGGGGCATCATTGGCTGGGAATACTTCCATCGGTGCAGCCAGCTTCGCCAGTGAATGTTGTCACAGCAGCGCAAGCCACTGAGGACAGTGGATCTGTGGTGAATAGTTTCCATGTTTCATACACACACAATGTATCATAGTATCCTGCAAGGAATGTGTATCTATATCTGCAAGATATAGATGTGTTTATATGTCTACAAGATATTGATGTGTATCTATATCTGATATGTGTATCAATGTCTTCTACAAGGTGCTGCAGGAGCAGCGTCCTGCAAGAACCACCTGTGTCTAGCCACTTACCATGTGCATCTTTACCTCATGTCTTTGGAGGGATATGAATGATCTATGGGATCATTATATCTTCACCTTTTGGTTCGTTTCTGGGGTCAGTTGCGTTGTTTTGCTCCAGAGTTGTTGGCCACTTCTGCCATGTTCGAGCTGATCTGCCATCAGGACGGTGCTTTATAAACACAGAACGCATCGTCTTTGACTATGACAAAACTGTACTTTGGCTAACATAGTTGCGTTTTACCCCAGGGGGTGGCGGTATTCAAGAAGTGGAGGCTCTAACTGCAGACCTGGAGGGCATCACGCTGCAGGAGTTGAAGGAGAGGTACAAACTGGTGGTCCAGGAGAACAGCAGTCTTCGGCAAGAACTGAGTGAAGTATCACAAACACTGAGCGACGTATTACAAAGGGTACAGATTCGCCTGCAGAGCTCCGCAGTGCCTGCACAGCAGGGAAAGTATCAGTAGTCTCAGGACGTCCTGGACAAGCATGGATTGGCTAGTCCCAGCAGGGTAGTGCCACCTGGCGGGGACCTGTCAACTTGCAGGCCGCTGGCAATCTCCGGATGGAGGTCAGGCTGCCTGCGATGCACACCTGACAGCTCTAGAGCCATAGAAGGGCAACAAAGTTTGAGACACAGAAAAGTGTGCCGCTCTTGACGAAAATTTCATTGCTTGGGGGTCTTGTCGCAACAGCGAGGCGGCGTAAGATAGGTTTTTCGAACTGGCACGGTTTTGGCTGACCAAGGAGCTCTGACGACTGACTGTAGTGACAGAGACGTTAGGTTGCACCTCTGGATGCGATGGGGTTCATGCCATGCAGGTGTTGGTAGGTCTGTCCACGGGCCTGACAAGTGGTGACAGGGTGTGACATGATACGTTAGGGTTGTGGGGTGGCCATGAAGGGCTGCAACTCAGCGCGGCGGCTGTCGGTTTTGGCAGCGGTTTCGTTTCTAGGCTCGAGGGAATTGATTTGCAAGCGATCGTCAAGATCAGTGCTAGTTTGTCAAATTCAGCGTTTGTCAAATTTGCACTGGTCTTCATGAACACTGGCAGCACCTTTAGATGACCGTGACAGTGAATGTTGGGGTGCATCTTTTCAAGGTGGGGGGGTAAAGACCCAGGGACAGAAACTTGGACTGTTCTGGAGGTCGAATTTGTAGCTTCGTCCCCTCGCCACTGTCTTTTGCTGCACGTGTCTTGAGCGAAAATGGTATATTTACATCTGTCAACACAAAGGGGCCCAGAAGGCAATAGAAGGCAATTGGCAGCGTGACCTGAGCACATGAAGCATACAGACTCCTGCACTTCATGGACTGGTAGTGCATAACTTGTGGCTATGCTGTGACGGACAGCACAAGGACATTGATTCTGTTGTAGAACAACTGGTGCTAATCGTACAGGGCCAGCTGCTGGGCCTTAAGCGCCACAAGCGTTTCATATCTCACCCTCTGCCGCCTGTGTCGCTGATTGTTGTGTCCAGCAGCCTCAAACACTTCACTGAGAAAAAGTCCTCCCAGTCTGGTGCCTGATTTGATCCCCCCGCATCCACGACAATCAACCTCACAACGATTTCCGTTGATGACCACACTTCTCTCCGATCGAAACTTTCCTACCCAATTGCAAAGCGCCCTAGAGCAGTTTGTGGGTAGATAAGCCACAGCAAACGCGCGGAGAGTAGGCGCAATGAGCCAAACAACACGGTGCACAATTACGCAACAACAGAATCCGAAAAGGCGCAATAAGCCAAACAACACGGTGCACAATTACGCAACAACAGAAGACGAAAAGGTCACCACGCCGCTTGGAACCGTCCTGTCAACGTCCGTGGCATCCAGCACGTATGGCTGAATTCGATCCTTTGCGGCCTTAGCAGAGAACAGGTGGCGCGTCACGCTTCACAATGCACTGCACAAATGCAACGACGTGTTTTTCTGCCGATGTTCTGAGCTGGCAGCACACTTGGCGGAAAAGGCATTCTGTTGCAGGCTGCGCCGCAACTCCTTCAACGCGGTACGGACAGAAGGAAACAAGAAATCAGCACCCCTGGCACAGGGCAGCAATTTTCCTTCGCCTCTGCCAGCAAGCTTCAGTGGGCGAAATAATGTTGACCTGTAGAAAATTGGAATGGTAGCAACACAAGCACTGCCGGATGATCTGGTTGCCTGCTGCTTGGCAGCAGCCAGTGTTCTACACAGATCACATGAACTATTTGTGAGTAAGTGGCAGTATGACCAACGTGCTGCTCGGGCACAAGGAACTGCTGCTATGCCGTTGAAACAACATGTTCATTTATCTTTTCATCACGGATGGCTGAAAGAAGAACTGAATGATGCTGCCTGGTCGCAAACCCACTTCCCTATTCTCACAGCCAACCATCCTGCTGGGCCTGAGAACAGGAGACACACCAAAGGAGCATGCTGGCGCAGGCATCTCAAAAGTTGAGTGAGCAAACTCTGCAGCCATGCCAGCCAGGACATTCAACAACCTGAGGGATGTCCAACACATCCCTGTCCATCATGCCACAACATGCAGGCAAACCGTACGCCACAATCCTCAACCTACCACCATTGCTCCAAAATTGTCGTCTGCACACAGCGGACGCCAGCCCCTGTGCTTTGTCAATTTCAAGCAGAATCATACCATGATTTTCCAAGCCTGCAGAGCCAACAGTCCCTGCTGAGGCCTGCACTTGCAGTTGCTGCAACTGTCTTGACAAAAGGGGCAAGCAGCAGGCATGTGTCAGTGCATATGCCCATTTCTCCCACTTGTTCAAATTCTGACTGGAACTCGTAATTTCTGACCGAATATCGTATTTTGTTTGAAGAAAGTGATTCCTCATAATGAAAACTCTGACACTCCAATCCTGGCACAAGGGGGGACAGGTAGTCCACCCGTCCTCACTGTCTGTTACTAGGGCTCTGTCACATGATTGTGACGTGTATATTCACTGCCTGTCCGTGATACACAAAAACATCCCACTGCCAACTGACCCACCGCCCCAAGGCTGCCCTGCTGATCTGCACTGCATGTGGCTCAATGCCCGATACAGTCACGAGTGAATTGCAGCACAGGCCCGATGTCACCCGTGATGGCAGAAATCTTGGCCACTGCAACCTGCAGCACATAATTGAGTGGTTTATTCAAATGCAGAACCTGAACACAAGGGAAGTGCACAAGTCCACTATGTGAAGGACAACTCTAAGAAGTTCACTTCAAGGCTCAGCTGCTCATGGCAGCAGTGATGAAGTCATCAGCAGTAACTGTTCTACAACCGTTGCCTCTGTACAGCGACAAGTGTACAAAAGCACTTACATAACCACAAGAGTGTATTTCCGTTTCATTGTTTTGATCGTGGCGGGAATTTCTGTTTCCTTTGAAAGATGTACCCTTCCTCGTCGACACGGTACTGAGCACGAACTGTCCCTGTTTAGTGCCCACTGCACTCTCCCACTGCCTCACACACAACCAGTGTACCAACAAAACTGTAGATCCGCAAACATGATGAATGTGCAGGTGCACCATGTGGTTGGGTTGATGAACTGATGTGTCGCACATGTGACGTGTAACCCTTGACTTCCTATGTGCAGGCTTGCCCACCCGATGCAGTGGCATGCCACTGGGCATCTATTGGTGCCCAATAGTCAAGGACAATTGAATGCAAGCAGCAGGTTTACCGCGCTATAGATTAACAGACTCTGCAGACTACTGCCCCAGCATCGTCCAGTAGGAGCACGGGCAGTGCTTGGCCGTACTTTGGCAAATGGAGACAATATCGATTGCAGCATTTCAAAACTGGATTCCACGAACTGCTGTGACATTGACCAAGTGACAGTTGGAGTCAGTGCGTTGGCAATGGTGCTGAGATTAGGGTACACACTGCAATTCACTCACCAGGGACTCAAATCTGGAACTATGTCCATCACTCTTCCAAGCTGCAAGGGCAGTGACTTTTTGCCAAGTCATAGGCAACTGTGCCCAATCGAATGCATACCTTTGACACAACGTGCTTGAAAGAGAATACCTCCCCCTCCTTGCCCACTGTCGGGCCATCTCCCTCCAGATTGCTATGGACAGTTCGAAGGCTCTCACTGCCGACACAGAGTGTAGCTTGAGGCTCATGTTTCCACCAACACTTTCACATTTGCCAAACTGAGGGTAATTCCTTGATCATGCGGAGGTGGTGCCAGGGTAATATTGTTTGTCTGCTGCTGATGCCTTGACATATGTAAATGCGGAAGAAATAGCACCAGCTGCTGCAATGGAGACAGAATGATGGTGGCAAAATATGATTTATTTATATATTTAATATATAATGACGGTGATCGCAACTTACATTTCCTTCTCCAGAAGCTTGACGATAAAGGTGTCTGTGTGTGCCTTGGCCCCAAGGTCTGCTTTGTTGCATGCCAGCAGGAGTGGAAGATGGTGGCTACAAAACACTGGGTGTGACAGGAGGTCAAAAAGCTGCCTGCGAGACAAAATCATGCACCATCGTGATCTGTGGACAATGTCCTGAACTTGGCACAAACTGACAGAGACGCTGATATGATGGCTGTGTGCATCCATCACCTGCAAGAGTTTCGCCAGGCACACAACTTTGGCAAATGCAATGCATGGCATAACCAAGAGAAGAGCATGGGCCTTGTCAGGTGTGAATGGAAACAAGAGCATCTTGAGAATGGGCGGTGGTGGATGCCCATGGCACACATCGTCGTACACTGCCACGATTACCCAGCTTGAATATCCACCCCCACTTCTCTGGGAGTACAAGCCTCATTTGTGTCTGACCTGGTTAAGTACTGGTTTTGTGGCACTGCCAAGATGGGAACTGGATGGCTGGGTTTTTGGCGCTTGTTGGCATGCCTTGCAGCTTTGTGCATACCCTGGTAAACGAGGAAGCAGGTTGCCCAGCTGCCGGGCAGCCACAGGCTAGTTCACCGTGCTGGAGAGGCATTTGGCAGTGACGTTAATGTTGTCAATGGCAGCACAGATTCTTCATTGTTGTGAACCTGCCCATTTTTAACTTTTCTTGCTCATGTTGCTGTGCATCTTTCCATTTTTGGTCTTGAACTTCAAAAATTTTTCCATCTGCTCGTGGGATAAAGAGTCCACACCCTGTCGTATCCATGGCTCAATGTGAGTATCCAATGCCTTGTTAGGCACCGATTGGGGGTGCCTGCCTACAAAGACCAATACTGGGTAATCACAGCAGGTGAACAGGAGTGATTTGCTATCACCTAGCAAGTGTGTTCAATGTAATTTAGGCAAGAGAATGACAGGTGTAAACACAAAGGAAGCAACAGTGTCAATGGCCCAGAGACACCAACTTGACAAGCATCCACAGGGCACAATACTTGCCATCCTGTGTTGTTCCAAAGGCAAATTCTTCTATTGAATTCCTTTTTAAGCAGCCACGTGCAGACACGCGGAAACAACAAGAAAATGCAGATCCCAACAACTTCACAAAGCTAGACACACTCCAGATAGCCCAAAGTTCATGCAACCCCAAGTTTGAATTGCCATGCAGTGAAACCAAGAAACTAGCAAGTGAGGCTGCATCTCCGCAAACAATCAGCATCCAACAAACCCTTAGGACCCTTTGTGGACTTGCAGGCGCTCGGGCTTGCTTTTTCTTGTGGGTTAATCAAATCTTTCAATCCATTAACATCTCAGCTACTACAGCGTATGCAGAAACGACTTGTGTGCGAATCTATATACAGCGCTCTCAACGCTGTTACAAGTGCGTACGAACAGCCATTTGCACTTTCGAAATTCTGAAAGTGGGGCTATCTTGATGCCATCACAACGTGAACATTTTCCTGTCGTTGCAGCCTTCCTCGCTGGGCTGGTGTCCGAGTCAGTTGCAACTGTAGGTGGACAACTTCATGGAATGAAACAAGACACATTCAGGGTTTGTCTGTTTCGTTGGAACACTGAAGCCACTCACTCAGCGACCTTCTTGCTGTTGGGCATGAAGTCGGTGGCATCCAGCATGAAGATGATGCCAGCGGCCATGCTGATGTGCATGTCCAGCCTGTCTTTCAGCCGCGGGTGGCCTGGCAAGTCAACAAAGTGCACATTGCCATCTATGCCCTTCCACACCACGACAGTCACGCTTTCAGGCCATGGATTGTGTTTCAAATGAGCAAGAACGCTATGTACAAGGGTGCCAGACAACCAACCCACTAAGTTGCAATACAGGGATACAAGGAAACAAGGAAATCTGTGGTGTGCAGAAGGCTGTTCAACAAGGACAAAATGCCACACAGTGGGCATCCTTGTTCCTTGCTCAAGTGTATGTAAGACTGCTTCCACATTGTGAAGGTTCGCGTACAAATTGCGAAGGGCAAGGGGGAAGAACATGGCGATTCGGTGGTGGGTGCTGAGCGACGCAGACTGTCAATTTGGAGAAAGTGCTGAAAAACGAAAATGCTATATACAAAAAGGGATCATGCTTGACGTGATGCGAGCAACGCCCAATGGCACAACTAAGTGGAAAGCATGGGATTTGTGCAATCTTACCGCCTGCTGGATTAGGTTGCCTTCGCTGTCTTCCATAGGTGCTACAGTGCCATTGAGAGCACCTCCCTCCTGCAGCTGCAGATGCAAAGGAGACCATCAATTAGTAAAATGTCAATCGAAACTCAAGCTGCATCAACCCACAGGGCCTTCTGTCTCAGATATCACATTCTGTGAGACATCAGTAAAATGCAAGGCAAAATCAATTAATCAACAAATGGAAAAGCAACCACACAAACAGGTAACAGCAAAATTGACACCAACTTCTGTTTCGATTTGCGAATTAAGGTGCAGTTGTAGCGCCTTTTGCCACCCAATGGTACAGTTGTCACGTCAACTAGGCAACACCACAACACTTTTTATTCAGCATCTGAGGCACAGGCACCCCCGACAGACTTCACCGAAGCTGGCACATGTAATGAATGACCCAGAACGAATTAATGTACCATCAGCACAATGTCATCACAACACGTCAGGCTTGGAATATGTCACTACTGAGCTCGGATCATCAGGAACCAGCAATCTGGCTAGTGGTCTACAACAGCCTGACAATGCTAGATGCAGTCAAAGTGTCCCAGATATGGCTATCACGCAGGTAGCAATGCCCCTTGGGTAACAGTTTTGACATTCATTTCCATGCCACACACGAGTTGTCCTCCTTGTGTCCTCCATATCCCCATTGACGATCCATGTGTCCCCTTATGTGGCAGGTAAAGCACTCATGGCAGTGACCCTGCCTGCAGCCACCCTGGCCTATGCTCTCATGCTCAATCCATATGAAAGGAGATGCTTAAACTCCCTGTTGGTTTCAAGCAGCATCAAGGGCAGCTCATCAGTGAGTGACAACTCACAAAGTTGGTCAGTTCAGGGACCGAATTGAATGAGTTGCATCCATAAGAGGCAAAGAAAACTTTGTCACTCAAAGTGACAAAGTCTACATCTCCTAATGCATTGTAACAACCAAGAAATGCCGTGTGTTGCAACAGCGTTAACACTCCCAATCAGTGCAGATTGCCCTCACATGGCTCTGTGGGTGTTTCGGCCTGATCGCACCTTATGGGACAAAACAGTCTTTCCCGCTCCAGAAGGGCCCACCAGCAGTATACAGGAGCCATGAGAGCTTGGGAACGTCCGCCCAAAGATCCCTGCACACAGCAAGCCAGGCCCAAAATTAAACGTGGAAAAGTCAAGGGCGGCAGTGCAAGAACGTTCAAAACCAAACCACAATTCAACAGCACAAACAGAACACATTTTTTTTCATTTTCTTTCTAATTTTGTTTCCTGATTGTCGCCACACAGAACACATACGGAACACGATGTTTTGTTTCACTAGGGCACCCCTTCATCCGCTTGACAAGAGGATTCCTCCCCACCACTCTGCTGGACTTGGCTTTTGCTAGGTTCCTGGACAATTGTGTTTGGGTTGTCGCACAGCTGGCAAGGTGCCCGATTTTGCCTCTGTGCTCCCGGGTCTAATAGTACATTGTACAAGGCTGTAACATCTTGACACACACAACGAGGCCCCATAAGCTGGTCGAATGGTCTGTTGTCTAAGAGCAGCCAGTGACACTGGCCCCGCTGCATTATCGGTTCTAAATTTGAGCAGGTAGTCGCGACTGCAACGCAGTATCCGCAGATGCATCTTTCGAAAGGCAAATGAGCACATGCAGCTCGCCGCCCCTGCGGTTCGAATCCCGCACACCCACAGACACTCGCGTTGCGCCCCAGAGTCAAGCCGCCGGGAGTCGGCAGTCCCGGAGGGCCGCATCCGAACAAATCCCGATCGAAAAACATCGATGGAGACCCAAAAGTCGACGCAGATCAAGACTTCGGCCCGCCAACGCCGCGCAGCGCCCCAAGGCACAGCGGTGGACAGACCCCCCGCGCCCAATGGACATGCTCTTTGTGTGCCCTCCGGTATCCGCCTTGTTTCGTCTCGAAGCGCCCACTACATTTCCTTGAAGGTGAAGGAAAGCTGGGATTACGCCTCGTTACTCTGTCTTGTAACAATATTACCCTGCAGCACCCATTCGATCCACAACCACCCAATTCGACCACACAATTCGACCCAATCCAGCCCGCAGGCGCGCATTAAGCCCCAAAAACCGACCGCCACGCACTTTTTGCTAGCCAGAAAATCGCCAGGATCGCAACCACCGCCACGATGGCGCGCGTCTCCAGTGAGAATCCGGGATGGCCGGGGTAGCCGCCGGCGTCGCCGGGCGGGGGCGGCTTGTACAGGGCGTGCTCATCTCCAACCGCCATCGCGATTCCACCCCGCTGGCGTCCACGGCTGTTGGCAGGCTGCGCTGGTGCGATGCCGATCTTCGAACCTGCCCGCCTGCTCGCGCCGCGCCGGAGGGGCCGGAGAAGGGACAGGTGTCGCGCTGTGTTGGGCTCGGGGCGCGCGGGGCGGGAACTCGGGAGGAGGGCGGGCGCGGGGTGTCAAGACGGCAGGTACCGAAGCTGTCATTCGAAATGGGGGAAATGGGGGTGATGGAGGTTCGATTTTGTTCGTGCTGTTGACGAAGGCAGGCAGGGTCGAGGGGTGGCGATCCCTGAACGGGAATCGTACGCTCAAGTCCACGGCAACGGTTTACAGCCGAGGCAAAAGGACAACAGACGTTCTGTCCTTTATACCCAGTCCGTTCATCAACATCCTTAATGTAATTCCTAGTGCTTCGTCATCTTTTCATACATTCAGTTATTTATAACACTCAATCAGTTCTAGCCGTAACATACAGCCCCATTACTCTCAATCGCGAACGCCCTCGTTGCGATCTTTCATGCATTTTCTAAACACCATCATCTCAGTTGACTTAAACATAATATCTCATCGCATTCTCGAATCCACAATGTTACAATAATCAAATACCATCCGGCCCTTTTCATAGCCCTTTACTTCAATTATCAAGCAGATGTAGAATCCTTGCATACACTTTGTTCACACAGATCATCGCGGTCTTGCCATCACTGTCCTTTAGTTACTTTCTGTTCGATGAACTCCTTGAGACGATCAACATGGACTTCTTCCGAATCAGCGCCTCGTGCCTTCCGATCAATCTCGTATCTCTGATCAGAGAGGCGACGCAAAATACGATATGGTCCAAGCCAGTGAGGGTCTAATTTCCGTCCATGCTGCTTGAACCTCACCGTATTGCGTAACCATACTTTTTGACCCGGTTTGAACTGAACCTTGCGCACAGTTTTGGTGGTTTCTTCTCTTCCTTTCATTACGGCTGCTCGATTTGCATCAATCCCATCACGGCGCAACTGCAGTTCGTCAATTCTCTGCTGCAATTCCTCAGGCTCCGGTTTTCTCCAGCCCTCCGCTAGTGATTCCACTCTGTGTACCGGTACCGCCACCTCATGTGTTCGCTTTGGTGTATACCCCATCAAAGCTTCGAAAGGAGAGCACTTCATTGACTCAACAATCCGGGAGTTGACAGCCAGAACTGCGCGCCCCAACTCGCGTATCCACAGTTCGCTGTGTCCATCAGTTAGCCTCCTCAAGCGATCCAACAACTCACGATTCGTGCGCTCAACCAGTCCGTTGCTTTTAGGCGAGTAGGCTGGTGAATAGACCCATGCTACTCCAAGATCACGTGCCATCTGTCGAAGATGTCGCTCCTTAAATGCCATTCCCCGGTCAGAAAGGCAGATTCTGGGGATGCCAAATCGGGCGCAAATTGCACTCAGCATGATCATCACGTGATTGTGATCCGCAGCTGCAATTGGCGTAACCTCACACCACCGCGTTGCATAGTCTACAACGACTAGCAAATACCTGTAGTCACCCACTGGTGTGAACGGGCCCAGAAAGTCCCATGCAATAACCTCAAACGGCTCCAATACCAACCATGTTTCTGATTTCGTTGGGCTCACATTTGGGCCATAATTTTGACAGGCTTCACAGGCTTTGACGTTGTCACTGACGTCTCTTGCCATAGTAGGCCACCAATACGTCCTCATCAACTGCGTCAGAGTCATGCGTGCACCGTAGTGGCCCGCATCATCATGAACACCACTGAGAACGCGCTTTCTGTCCTCCTGACGCACCACAAGTTGCGGATCGCCCACAGAATTCTTGTGGTATAGCTTCCCATGCATAACTGCGAAACGGTCAGCCCGACGCTTGATGAACTTCTGATCCTTTTCTGGCATTTCTGGTCGAAAATCTCCAGTTGTGATGTACTTCTGCATGTCATCATACCATTCGTCACTGCCAGGCACCACAATCATCACATCTAAATCTTCATCAAGCGCATCTTTCCCCTCCTGAATCATGGGTAATCTCGAGAGAGCATCAGCGTTTTTGTTCAATTTTCCAGGCCGGTACACGATCTCAAAATCGTATTCTGCAAGAATCATGCACCATCGTGCCACCCTTGATGACGCCATTTCGGGATGCCTTAACAGTCCCTTCAGAGGAGCATGGTCTGTGTAGACAGTGGTGTGCCGCCCCAGAAGGTAACGTCTGAGCTTTTTAAAAGCCACAACCACAGCCATCAGTTCTTTCTCGGTCACGCCATAATTTTTCTCTGCCCTCGTCAGCGCTTTGCTCAAATAGTATACGGGGTGTGGCAACCCGTCTGATCCCAGTTGGCTGAGCTCCGCTCCCAAACACGCATCTGATGCATCGGTATGCAACAGAAAATTCTTGTCAAAACGTGGTACGGTCATCACTGGAGATGTCATTAGTGCTTCGCGTAGATCGTCAAATGCGCCCTGCTGCGCATCCCCCCATTCGAATCCAGCTCCTTTGTGTGTCAAAACACGCAAAGGTTGTGCGCGTTTTGCAAACCCCTTAATAAACCTCCTGTAGTAGCTCACAAAACCAAGAAATCTCTGGACACTCAATGTGTCATGTGGCCTTTCCCATGTCTTGATCTTTTCGATCTTTCCTGGCTCAGGTTCCAGACCCCTTGCACTGACCAAATGGCCAAGGAATACGATGGAACTCTGCAGAAAACTGCATTTTTTCGGATTCAAACTCATCCCTGCTCTTTTGTAACATTGAAAACACTTCTCAAGCATGCTCATGTGATCCTCAAAACTGTCCGAACCGACTCCGCAATCGTCAAAGAACACTTCCACCTCAGTCCCAATGAGTGGACCAAAAGTTCACTGATTGAGTAGAGCATAAACGGGGGGTGCATTGGTGATACCGAACGGCATCACTGTGTAGCGGAACTTGCCAAACGGTGTAACAAATGCCGTATAATCGCGAGCACGTGGTGTAAGCTCCACCACATAATAGCCACTGAAACCATCAAGCACTGAGTAGTATTTTCTTCCAGCCAGCCTGTCCAAGCACGCTTCAGCATTGGGTATTGGCCACTGAATTGGAACAGTTGCTTCATTTAATCGACAGTAGCTGTGGCACATTCTATATGCACCAGACTTCTTCTTGGGGAAAATCGTCCCTGCGCCCCATGGACCGTAATACTCCTCTATCATGTTTGCTGCTAACAACTCAGCACAGCGAGTCCTTGCAAAGGCCTCGATTTCTGGTGGCCAACGTTGACTCTTTCTTGTACACATGGGCTTGGTTCCAGGTTGCAGCTCAATGTCACATTGCACCAGATTTGTGCGACCCAATTCGCTCAATTCGTGAGCAAACAGGTCTCCATAGCGACACACGAGGGTGTTGAATATTGATCGCTGCTCAGGTGTTGCTGCGTCACCAATATTCAAAGTGTCGACATTATCCACTGTGATGTGGAAACAATCAACAACCGGTGACCTGCAATAAATTGCATCAGCCGTCACTGGTTGTACAGCACAACCTGCCTTGCGGACATCCCACAGGAGCCCCATACTCTCAGAATTCATCCCACCGGTTCTTTTGGAGTCATCAGCTGGAGCATTGCTCTCAATTCCTCCTCCATAAACATCATCCAAGGCGATGCTCAATGTAGTCTCTTCGAACTCAGTAGCCAACACAGCCCTGTGGATGGCACTTGCCTCTTGATTGTTTATCCACTTGGTGTTCTGGCTGACGTCTTTTGCATCTGCTTCCACTTCTGGCGGGAAACCATCATAAACCAGCCCAGAGTTGCCACTTGACTCAGAAAACGTCTTCTTTCCTTTGGGCTCATCTTGTACCGGCAGCATTTCGGTCAGCCCATGTCGTTCATCAGAATCGATTTCACGACCCACCAGCACCAGATATCCTTCCGTTGCTTCTTCTTCCAGTTCTTCTGATTCTGTTTCTTCTTCGGTCACTTCGCTGTCTGATTCATAATCATCGGAGTCATCAGACTCACTAGTCGCCACTGAAGTATCGCCAGCGATTGCTCCCGTCTCATGAGTAATGCAATCAAGCAACTCACAAACACGCTCAGAGTCAGTGAGCTGTGTCGGTACCCCCACCAATGGCAAGAAGCTGCCCTCGGCATTCTGAATAAAATGCGAATCTGTGCCCCAGAATAACACCACTTGATTAAGCCTCAACCATGGTTTACCAAGAAGTGCTGGGTATCCTGCGTTGGTGTGCATCAGATGGAACAAAACATCTGTGGAGACACCAGCCACATCAACATGGGTTTTGACGTAGCCAAGCAAAGGTCGCCGCCCACCATCTGCCATACGCACCACAGCACCACTGGGACCCAAAACACGCAATCCACACGTTTTTGCTGCATCTGGTTCCATCAAATTCAACATTGCTCCAGGGTCAATTATAACCCCTTGGCAGGCTCGATCAGCAATGTGGCAGTCAATTCTGATTGCCTTTTCGGTTGTCAACTTGTTAGCCTCAGCTGCCATCACTTCTGGTGCTCTTGTGACTGGTTGTGTACTTGCGCCTGGTTGTGCACTGCTCATACCTTGAGGTTGTGAGCTGCCTTCCACATCCATAGCTTCTCCTTTTGGCTTTGCTTTCTTCGGCCTATCCAAGGCAATCCCAGTGCGCAATTCACGTCGCACTGTTGGGGATACTTGGAGCAGCTGTCCCAGCGAAATTGAAACCGGTAGATTGAACAAAGCTTCAGATACTTGGAACTTGGGTTTCCCCCGGCCACACACAATTTCTGTCAATGGAGTACGCTTCTTCCGTTCTCCCACACGCCTGACACGGACTCTTTTCTTGCTTGGTTCTTCTTTGTCCTCTTCAATCGCTTCTTCACCAGCAAATGCTTCCAGTTCCATTGTCATAGCATCATGGCTTCCTTTGCCATTCACGCAACGACCTGATGATTGTCGTTGATGGCTCTGAGATGGATCATCAGGACCCCGAATGTCCTCAGCTCGGACATTTGCAGCCGTTCCAAGAGGTGTTGCATTCGCTCCCGTCAGTGGCTGACCTCTACCAACATTGTTTTGGTCACTGTCTTGATGCCAATTGTTGTTGTAGTCAGCTCTGCCACCAATTTGATTCTCTCTCCAAGTCATGCGTCCTCCACCTCTTCCACGACCTCTGCCACGATTGGCTGGCCCAAAATTTCCAGGAAAAGGACTCGATTCTGCACGGTCTTTCGAGCCCATCGATGTGACCATCATGGCAGTGAGCTCACTCATTGATTGTGCCAACTTCTCCACGTTTCGCTGCAGCCCATCAATGTCGGTTTTGTCTGACGTCATGGCTCGACTTCTCATAAGCTCGCCAGCTGCTGGCAACTTCCCTTCCATGAGAAGCGTTGCTTTCTCTACTCGCTTGGCTTCTGCCACTGCATGGTCAAAATCAGGAATATCCGCTTTCAAAACATCCAAGCGGAATTCCTTCTTCAAGCCCATGACCCAATAACGTCGAAGTGCACTGATGGGAAGTGCATCCCCATCAAGTGCTTCCCGCTCAGCATGCAAACATCTGTACCTCTCGGCATAAGAGGCCACTGATTCATCTTCAACTTGTTTTGGGTCATGCAAAGCACACTCGATCTGTTCCAAATACCCAGGTGCTCTGAATCTTGTGACAAATGCAGCTTCAAACTCATCCCATGTACGTTCGTCACCTTCCCAATGTGCTGCTCTACTATTGTACCATGTCTCTGCCTCTTGTTCAAAAACTACAGCAGCATTAGCAATCCTTGCTGCTGACGTGTCCCAGCCATTACTCCTTGCTACCCATAGGAAATGCTTGACCCATACCCCTGGGTCTTCTCCCCTTCCTGTGAAGGGACGTGCCTTTGGTTTGACACCGTGCACCATGCTGCTCCAATGTACTAGCATTGCCACATGGGCTGCTCGCGCCCTGCCACGTTGCTCGCTCGACACCAGCAGTGACGCTTCACTGTATCAGCGCGATGTGCCACCTTGTGGGATTACACCGTTGGCTGACACAAGCCGACACAAGCTGACACGAGCTGACACAAGCTGACACAAGCTGCTGTCCTGCTGACTCCTTGTCACGCAATCCTCGCTATGGGGATGTGTGTGCTGTGTGCAAACACGTGATCCCTTGGACACATCAGCAACCACAATGAATCGCCGACACCGTCGCAGCACAACACGTCGTACTGTTCCAAGCCGTAGCACAGCACTACGAGAGTGGTGCTGCACTGCGCGTCGTCCCTTGGGAGGAGGCTCAATCAGTCAGCGAATTGATCCTCTTGGCGGCGGCTGAGCCACTCTGCTACGGCGCACCAGTGACACGTTGTCGCACTGCCCGTTGGACTCACTCGCAACGTACAATTCTCTCTGTATTCAAGTCAACGGTGGAAGCCTTGACCCAAGACTGACCCCCACGCCTAGCGACAGCTGATCGCCGCTGGCGCTCTTGCCAAAACACTCCAGAAGGGCCACACGAAATGGACTCTGGGTCGTTAGAGTCCCGTCGTAACCAACCGTTCGATGGATGTCTTGAATCTTCGATCCCAAAAAGTTTCTCGAAAACGTCGCCTGGGCAACGTAGAACTCTAGTGCTCTTGGCACTCAGTCCGCCCCAGGTTGCAACAGGCTAACCTAGTCCGTGTCTCGACTTGCACACCCCCTGCCTCGGGTGCCAAATGACGAAGGCAGGCAGGGTCGAGGGGTGGCGATCCCTGAACGGGAATCGTACGCTCAAGTCCACGGCAACGGTTTACAGCCGAGGCAAAAGGACAACAGACGCTCTGTCCTTTATACCCAGTCCGTTCATCAACATCCTTAATGTAATTCCTAGTGCTTCGTCATCTTTTCATACATTCAGTTATTTATAACACTCAATCAGTTCTAGCCGTAACACTGTGCGTTGCATGAACCCATCATGCGATTGGACATGCATGGACGCTTACTAGCTATATATTTATTACATTATATACATATATATTTAATATATTTGGCGCTTGTGTACTTTTCTAACACTATCGCTGGAAAGTACGGCACAAGAGTCAGTACTTTATAGTACTTGTTTGACCATTTCGTCCCTGAAACGGCATTTTTTGTGCATGTTGGGGCTGGGGAGATTGTGCCGTGCTCCCTTCCAAAAAATATTTGAGAGCAAGGGACCCTCCATGGCGAATTTGCTTATTTAAGCAGATGATGCACTGCACGGGATGGGGGATACCACCAGGTGCCATCCCAAATGGCCGTTGCGCTAAGAATGAGAGTGCCATACCAGAAATGCAAGCAAGTTGCTGCTCTGCTCCACCGCGATAGGAGCAACAGCATGTGGCACCCTGACGCAGGCTTGGGAGCAACGAATATAGCCAAAAAGGTACCACGGAAAAGATGCCTACAATTCCGTATCTATATATTGGGCATGGAAATGCGACTAAATTACGGCGGAGTTTTTCACAATTGCACCTATATGACATGCAATTCAGTCAGTTCGCATCCGCATATATGGATTTTGGACATGTCCGACCAGCCTGTGGTGCCATTGCTTGCTACACCCCCAGCGGTGACTGCGTCATGCCAAATATTATCACACGGGACCCACGCAACAGCATCAAGGTGACAGTTGCCCGCCCCTTGCCCGCCCTTGAGCCAGGATGCAGCATGGGTCATTGCAATCTGAGCAACGTCTCAATTCAATCGGTTCGTACTTGTGTCCGAACAATCCATAATGCAGCCCGTGCAGACCTGTCGTCTTCTCCCTCGCAAAGTTTGGCATGTCCCCATAGCACACAGCGGACCTGAATCCATGGTTATAGGCTAGCTGGCAACATTGGTAGTCACCACCGCCCATCACAATAATGCCGCAATACATGCACACGCATCGCTGCGCTGTGAAGCTGGGAAGTCCTTCACGTGAGGCACCACCATGCACTACCACTAAATTGGCCTTTGGCATTTGCGCTCGCTCCCCGCTTCATCTAAAGCGCGCCAACTTCCCGAATGTTATGACGTGCAAACCGTGCGTCCGAAGGATGCAGGTCACAAGTTGCAGCCATTGGTTCTCCAAAACAAATGGCATTTGAGCAAATGATTCTCCAGTAACTCTCAAAATACGCGTATACTCAAAATTTTGTCAAGGTACGCATATTATTGCGCAATCTTAATAAGCGCTAGCAGCACTAGGGAAAAAGGGCCATATAACATGTGTTGAAAGGTGTACAAAGTTTACGGGTTTGTGTTATTTACGTTTTCTTAGCTTGCAGAACTTTGATGAGATGTGTTTTGTGTGTGTTTTGTTGCCTCTGGCGTGCACAAAGGCATTTGCTATGCTGGAATTGGTGTGTCTGGCACTAATTTTTTTCGCTAGATCCCTTACTCCGGCATGTTTTAGAAAATACTGCGCTAAAAATTTTATGTTCAAATGTATCTCGTGACTCCTTAAGACCATGCTAGCCAGTCCTAGCAAACACGAATAACGTTTGCTGTTTCCTTACCCGCAGATCTGCTTTAATTAGGTCAGAATTATTGCGCGCACATCATAAAAGGAAAGTAGACCTTCGCCCCACTGCAAGAACTGAACAGCCTCACTTGGCCACTCGCACTTGGGCGACAGTCAAGCTCAGGAACCAGACTTGTTATTTACGCCGTAAACACAGATCGTATTTACATGTTCACGTTTAAAAATATTTTTCGCATTTGTACACGTAAAAGTATGTAAATATAACGCAAAACATGAACGTAATAACGTAAATGTAACGAACACAGTTTCCCGGAAATTTGGACATCGCCGTCTGAGATGCGCAAATCCGTCGAAAACAAAAAGAAAGACAAGTCCCTGAACAAGTCCCCATAGTCATTAGAAAAAACATGGAGACAAAATCGAGTTCCTTCTGTTGCTGATCTGCCAGGCAAACCCCGGAGCGCCAAATTTTTTTGTCCTTCCCGAGACCGAGCATTCTCTTGGAATCGAACAACTTTGGAGGCTTTACATCGCCTTGCACTCCCTTGCCAGGTGGCACGAGGCCCACACATCTGTGGCAGGACGGGGCAGGCACTGAAATGTGAAGCAAAATATTCTGGAGAGAGGGAAATCCCTGACGGCCCCACCAGCAACGTCAACGCCAACGTTCCTCTTCGGATCGATCGCGTGAGCACCCGGCCTCCGCAACTGACCCACCAAACCGGCGCGAAACCACGAGCCCAATTTTTGCACGGGGCATCATGCGCGTCAGGGATATCGTCGCCGGTCAAACCTCGTCCCCACGCCCGTCTGGGCGCCGCCCCACCCCAACCAAACTGTACCCCGGCGTTGAACCACGGGACTCCCAGGGCCGGCCGCGGGACTCCCACCCGTCCAACGAGGGGCCCGCTTGTTCGGTGCTTCCTGGGGCGACCCCCTTTTGCCCGCTCCACCCCCTTCCCAACATATGCATCGCCCAGTAGCCCAAGGGGCTGCAACCTGCGCCCTCCTGGCGCTCCTGCTGCCCCACGCCCTGCTGCTCTCGCCGTGCCTCGCCGCTGATCTGGAAGGCTTCGGCGAGGAGGAGGGTCTCTGTGGCGATGCATCCGATGCGCACCGGAGTGGCAATCCCGCCGAGGTGGCCGCATCGATGCCCGAGTCCACGGCCGAGTCATCGCCGGGCTTGGACGGGGAGAGGGTTGAGTGGGATGAGGATGAGTTCGAGGGGGTCGGGGACGATTGGGCGCACCGCCAGGGGAGGGATCGCCGGCGGGGGGCCGAAGGAGACGGCGATAGCGGGGAAGGGGACAAGGGCAAGGACGCCGACAGCTACCACTTCGAGATTGCAGCTGTGGTGGCGCTGCTAGTGTACGGCGTGAACGTGTGGATCGGCACGACGGCCAACGAGGCGATCGCGCTGGCGTGGGCCAAGACGGCCACTGCGGACGGGGGGGTGCTGGATGAGAACTTCACCCTGCTGGGGCCGGGGGACTCCATCCGGGGCGAGCAGCTCGTGCGGGAGCACGAGTCGCTGTTCAAGCTGTACGGGGGCGGGCGCCGGCACTGCGACGGCTTCCTGGCGACCCTGGACCTGAGGGCGAGGGAGGACCTGCTCAGCATGGCGTCCTACCTGCTGCTGAGAAGGGACGACCACCTGAACGTGGAGGTGTACATGAGCGAGGGGTGCATGCCGCCGACGGTGCTGGCGGTGGGGGCGCCCAAGGTGGTGCGCGAGCTGGCGCGCGACTGCGAGGACCTGCGGACGTACGCCAAGGCGGTCGGTGTGCGGCAGGTGGCGGACTGGGCCACGGACAGGTGGGCTGTGGTGGCGGAGTCCAGCGAGGTGTTTTACGACCTGATCGGCGAGAGGTTCGTGGAGCTGGTGTTCGGCGAGTCGGCGTACGAGTCAACCGGTCGCAGCCTCCGCTACCTGCATTTCACGTCCGAGATGGACGGCAGTTCGCACAAGAACGTGCTGCGGTTCTCCTTCGTCTTGCCGCCCTTGAAACAGATGGGCGAAATTTCCAACCTGCTGGAGCTGGTGCCCATGTTCGTGGATGCGGTGGGGGGGTATCGGATGAGCCCGGAAGGCCGGCGCCGCGCGGACAGGCGGAGGGCGGACGAGGCCGAGCGTAGGCTGCGCGAGGGAGACCAGGCGCGTCGGGACGCGATCACGAAGAAGCGGAGGGAGGCGGACACGGAGCGGCTGAAGCGGCTGTCGCCCAAGGAGGCCCAGAAGTGGGTGTCGCGGCAGGCCAAGGTGCACACGCGGCGGTGGGTCAAGCAGAGGGCGGTCCGAGCGTGACTGGGGTGCGGCGGGCCTTCGTTGATCCGGGGGTTGGATTGATTGGCCTGGGGGGTGGCGCCGGCGGGCGATGGGGGGGAAGCAGGTGAGGTGTTTGGAGAGTTGGGGGTGGGTGGGTCAGCGCGCGAGACTGTGGTTGTGCGATTGGGGCCTGGCATCGTGGCCGATGGGTGGAGCAGGTGGTGATTATTTGCGGGAGCAGGGTCGTGCGGATGGCCGCGTGGGCGGCTGCAGGAATTCAGGCAGATAGCAGTGCCCATTTTGAGTCCATCGGAGGCGAACGTAAAGCCTTCTCCTTTCCCTTGTGGACGGCCACGAGTTGACATGCGCTGTGGCAGGCTCCATGTGTTTTCCAAGGGTTGCCATGTCCCCAGGGGCAGCAATAAGCAGCGGGTTGTGGCTCGCGTGGAGTGTTGTTGACAGCAGGGGCACCCGCGGTGTAGAGTTTGACTGCGAATGGCGTGTGCACCAAGCCTTCATGGAGTGAGCACCCTGCTGGACAAAAACTCCCTTTTTAATATCAACTTGAAATACATGAAGGAGTCTTTCTCTCCTGGACAGGGGCTCAAGAACGCTAGCTGTGAAAGTGGTTCACCTTGAAATCAATGGTTTGGCACCAAATTGGCACCATCGCAATTTGTTTCCAATCTCCTTGCATCACATTCAGAATGTCAGATGTACAGTTGTGCACATCGGTGACTCAGCATGGGCAGCATGCCAGATTATCTACAGTACTGTATGGGGCAAAGTGCTGCCGTCTATGAAGCCAAAGCACTGTTCATGTTGCACTCCTGCAGAAGAGTTCCGTTGCAACAGAATGTGGCCATCATATGACCAGCTGCTCTCTGGATTTTGAGGTGACGACCCTTGATGGTTCATCCAAACGTGGGACGTCATGAGGAGCCACCTTTGACAGTGCGCGATGTCAAGGGGTGCCCCCCACGACTGTGGCGGCTCTGCAGCACCAGGATAACCTGACGTCTTTGAGGGTGCTGCACCATAACCCTTGGTGACTTTGAGGGGTCCTGCAAAATAGCCAAATGACGACTTTGGTGGTGCCGCAGCAGGATCGTGCCAGGAAATCTGTACATTAACTGGTGAAACTACTGGGGTCCCACGCCCAGGTAGTCAAGGGGTAGCTGCGATGACGCATCAAGTGGTGATTGACCCAGTGTTGCGATACTCTGGACACTAACTGATTAAACTACAAGTGTCCCACACCAAGGGTTTTGGAGCTCATGGAAACGCTCGCGCTTGAGCGAGTTGATTGGGTTGTTGGTGGTCTTTGTGGTGCTGCATCCCAAGACTGGACACAAACAGAGTCACGGCCCTGCCCAGACAATCGATATTTGGGCCCCCCTCTCGTGTCCGCCAATGCAACCCAAACGGGTATTGCGCCCAGCGCCGGCGCGCCACGCTGGAGAATTCGTCAGCCATGCACCATCCCACATTTCCTTTCCCTGCGGCGGTAGCAGGCCAGCGCCACAACAGCAACAAACTCGCCACTGCGCACGAGTCGCGGGTGCCAGTCGCAGTGCGTTGTGTCACCACCATCGTGGGGTCACTCCTCGGCGGCAGCCTTCAAATCTCCCAACCCCCCTGGCGAGAATCCCTGCCCCCGCAGCGGACAGTGCGCCCCCCCAAACTGGAAAATAAAGCGCCAAAAAAAGGCTGGCGAATCAGCCAAAAGACCAGCAATAATACACTCTCATCCATGGCACTCCAACTGATGAAGAGCCGACCAAGGCAGGCAGGTTCTAGGGGTGGCAACCCCTGCCTGTGGACCAATCGACTCGAGTACACGGGAGCGGCTTACAGCGGAGCAAAGGGACAAGAGGAACTCTGTACCTCATATCCTGTCTGTCCATCAGTGTCTATAATGCAGTTCCTAATGCCACATCAACTCTTCACGCGTTCAGCTGTTAGTGATACTCGATCAGTTCTAGTTACAACAAAGCACTGTTGTAACCAGAAGGGATTGGTTACTACTACCTACTTTTCATAAGTCTTGTCGCTTATCCAATCTCGCCACTTTGCAAGATCAACTCAATTAGTAAATCTGTCGCCAGATTCGGATTCCTTGGTCGATTTCGGGGTAATGCGGATCTTGATTATATAAGTCGTCGCCATACAGTAAGAAGTTCAGAGCCTTATCAAGAGCGTCCCCGTCCATTTCCGTCAAGGCCTCAGTTTGTTGTACTTTTGTGCCCGCCTTATCCCCACGTGTGCCAGCCATTTCCCCAAAATTATTCAAGAATCTTGTAGCAGAATATAAATAGGCACTACCACAGCCTTTCAACAATTTTGCAGTCATTACAATCACGCTCTTTGTGGGCCAACTCATCCATTATGCTGATGCATGTCTTCAAGATTCTCAATTTTAACGGTTAGTCATGTTGGCGCCAACCTAGGCCATTCTCGGCTTAGCGGCAGCATGCACGGTCTTTCCAACCTTGATGGGCTGGCTAAGTCAATGCCCTTGCACTGATCTAGCTGTCTCTTCGTGTTCGGGTCGCCAATAATAACAGCACATTATAGAACATAATAGCTTATTCGTCAGACGCACAGCTGGCTCCCCGGGAGGACCAGAATGGATCAGAGCGCCAAAGGGTGACCCCAGAAATCTTTGGCAAGGACACTCAGCGTTCAAGGTCTCGACACGCAGCTCACAGGACTGCGACAGGGCAAGTCTCAGCATCGGCTGTGTGTACCAGAAACGATATGCACGCGTGGCTGGTGTCGACCTGGCAGATTACAACATCCTCCGCGGTATCTGGGAAGGACCGACACCGTGACCAGTCTCACAATCTTCCGCGACTCCCTGCACGGGGTCTCTTGCCCCTGACTCGGCTCGACACGCAAAATGCTCACACAAACACACATTCACAGCGGGTCAGGAACCTGCGAGAGGGGATTTTGCCCGAACTCGGCCAAGCAATGCCCATTGATCGAGACAGGCGAGCCATTTTCGGCGACGGGGTCGAGAATGGGGGCTAGCAGTCAAACGGCCGATTGGTCGATCAGACCGGAAAGAAAGAAAAATAACCAGAGGAATCTTCGGTAGGGAGGCAAAGTCTCTTGAACTGCACGGTTGGCAGGCCATCGGAAAGGCACAGAAAGAAACGCGCCGGGGCGCCATCGGGGTGGGTCCAGAGGTCATAGGCTGACACGCGGGCAGAGCCGCACGGGTCAGTCAGGGGCTCCGCACCAAAAGTGACCCGGCAAAGTCATCGGCCTGAGGGAGCGTTCCCAATCTGCGCGGTCGTTTGTTTGGCGGAAGCTCAAGTGACGAAAAGCGCCACCTCCGGAGCCCACCAGAGGGGGTGCGGGGGGGGCCAGTGTGGTGGGAGGTTCCTAGGCCGAAAGAGTTGTACCGCCGGCATCTCACTCAGCCTGGCCGCCCGTGGGGGGGCCAGGAGTGGCAGAATCGGGTAGCATCGGGCATGGATCGGGCGCCGCAGGGTTCTCGCGTGTAGTTTGGGATGGCGTGATGCGACCACAATGTCTGCAACTTTACAGAACGCTCGCCAAGTCAGCTATCTCAGCCATATGAAGTTGGATGACTGATGTGATAATTTTATCATACTCAGTGATGAAATTGCAGTACGTACATACCAGATTAGGCTTTTTAAGGCAGTTTTAGAATTGATAGAATTCTCAAATCACAACTCAATCCGGGCTCTAGGGACAAAGTCACAGCGACTTTACTGAAAACGGCCCCTAAAATAAGTGTTATATAAGGCGTATTATGTAGGGAAAATGACATTGCTATGCCACGTCCATCTAGAGATTAGGGCCTATCTGTAGAACCTAAGAATGTCCATTTTGGACGTGTAACGAGACGTTGAAGCCACAATACAGGAATTTGCACGTATGCCCCTTTGATGCCATATATGATCGCTAGAACGGAACGCTAGCAGGTGTGAAGGGCTCTTGAGCTGCCTCCAAGTTCAGGATGGCCAACTGTTGTGGAAACACATGGGGGTCGAGAGAATTGTGGTCATTAGTCTTGGTTGGTTAGTCATCTGTGGGGTTCGACCCATTATCTGGATTCTTTATGATATCTAGATACTCGTAGGCTCTTTACTTGTCTAAATCCCCCAGGTATGGAGTAGTTTGTGGCCTAGGGAAATCCCTGTACTTAAGGGATAGGCCGTGGGGGTAGACTGGGCCGCGGTGTATCGATAGTGGGTCCGATACGGGGGTATGCCGGGCGATATAGTCGTGACGCACTGATGTACATTGTGTGGTGTCTGTGTGATGGGTGGTCAGGCCGGAATGTGGCCAACCACCAGTACGTACGCGGGGGTGCGTTGCTCCCCGCTCTGTTACCCGTTTGGCTCACTGCCTCGCTCCGCACGGGCCTCGCGGCCCGGGGAGCCAGCTACTTTGTTACCCGCCGTCTTCGAACGGCAGGACCGCCCGATCCCAGAGCGCAAGAGGGCCCACCGCGCAACGAACGAACGAGCACCCCGATTACGCCCGCCGGGTTCGGCGGAGGGGCCATCGGCCCGACCGGGTGCAGGCGGATGAAGTGGGATGCGCGCCGGAGAAAAGGGACCAGCGGAGGCCATTAAAAGAGCCCCGCAACAAGTGGTTTCGGAGCGCGGAGCCGCGAGGAAGACCGCCGGCGGATGATGCCAGGAATGGTGGCGTTGGGTGAAGCCGCGACCGAGGGGCGTAGCGACGAGAAATGGTGCCAGAATTGGGCGCGGATCGAGCTGCATGTAAGCAGCGACCGGAGCAAAAGAGGACCCAACGCCATGGGAAACGCCAGCAAGGTGAAGGTATTTAGATGGAGTTTTGAACGCGCCGAAGGATCGCCGTTGGAGAAGGAAACGGCGCGGAGGAATGCGGAAGGAAATGCACAGCTGAATCGGCACTGAAGCGGCGCTGCATAGGCCGCAAGGTTTGGGTATACGGCGCCAAGGATGCGGCGCTCGATGGCGCCTTTGGCAAGCCATGGAAGCGAGTGAAAGTGGAGGCCCCGCATGCCGCGG